TTAACTTTGATTTGTTCCATGTTAATTTTATCACCAAAAATCTCAGTTATAAGAGATCCTTTTGATATAAAATCCTAAGGAATTTCAATTTTCTCAGGATGTAATCCATCCGTATTAGACAATTTACCTTCTCCGAGTTCCAACAGCCAACTTGCAAATTTTTTTTCCTCTCCAGTTCTCATATTTTGCTGGAGTTTAACTTGATTTACATTCCTCCATATCGGGTTATATTTAACAGTCGACTCAATTATTGCTGCTTTGTGTGCATGTGGCACTATTGGTAGATTTTGCCTAAAATCTCCTGCAAATAAAATAACTTTTCCTCCAAATGGTTGTGAATTTTTCATCAAATCCTTGAGAAGTTTATCCACTGCTGTTAAGGCATGTCCTATAGTCATGCTCACCTCATCCCATATAATTAATTTAGCAGAGATCAGTTCTCGTGCAGCTTTCGAGTTTCCTCTGATATTAGATTTAGCACTATCATAAATTGGAATGGAAAGTTGGAACAGGGAGTGATATGTTCTTCCTCCTTTTAGAAGTGTGGCAGCAATACCAGTTGATGCACATGGTAGAACTTCCTCGTTTCTTCCTCGGATAACACTCAAAAATGTGTTAAACAGATAGGTTTTCCCACTACCTGCAAACCCATCTATACAAAATAGCCGCTGTGGTTCATTCTCATTATCAATTGCTCGCATGACCAAATCATACACGTGTTTTTGTTCAACATTTAGTGTCGATATCAAATAATCACCACGTCTCCTTTCCTCATCTACGTTATACTCTGTTACGTGAATAATCACTGGATTTGGACTTGGTAATTCTAAATTTTCACAACTACTTCCATTATTCTTCAAAATTTCTTGTATATGATTTAAAGCCATATTTTCAGGATTGACAATATTACTGTGTACAAAGTCCTCAATCATTGATTCTTTGTATCTATTCCAAAGCGTTGGTACATTTGTTGGATTTCCAAAAATGCAAATGTATGAAAATAGTTCTCTAAGCTGTGCAGGCATATGAGTACTTGTCGCTTCCTCCATTGTTTTTTCCCACAGATCATCTGCTTCTACCAAATTCATTGCAATTGCTGCATCTTTAAACGTCTCATAAAGAATGCCGTTGAAAGTTCTCAGATCTTCAAAACATTTAGCTCCAGTCACATGTAGGAGAAGAAGACGGAGATAAAATCTTTCATTATCTTTAATGTTTACTGTGTAAAGCCTTGCAATTATTTTGGCAATACCTCTTTTGCGTCGCTTCCACTTAGTTTCTTTTCTTTCATAAATATAGTGAGAAGGAATATCTGTGTAAAGAAAATGTACCGCATTTTCATCAGATTGATTTAATTTGAACCATGCAGTTAATGTAGTATCTCGGGTGAGTTCTCTTTGTACAGCTTGTTCTTCATTTCCCGCCCGGAAATAAACCATTTGGCGATTAGGCAAATGAACTGCAAGTCTTATTACTGTGTGAGATCTCATAAACAGATCATATCCATTTAGTCTCCACATTGCTTCTGGAGCACTAACATATCTTGCATCTAGAAATGTGTTAACTTCATCTACTGTAATGAATCTTTTGCAGTTTTGCCATCTCGTGTTTGTACTTCAATAGCAGCACAATCAAATCCTTTATGAATGTACTTATATAAGTATTTTACGCTCTTAACTGATGAACATATTTCCAAATTGATGTGCCGATCATATTTCATGATTAAATATGGCGAATATGGCACCACCCATCTATTATCAATTTCTTTGCCTCTTACAATGTATTTTTTTCCAGTATTTCTTCGTTGATACATCGGATATCCATTTACATTAGCATTAGTTTCGTTTCGAAATTCTTTTGGAAAACCTTTTGAACATTTTCCATCATCTCCAGTGCAAGGATATTTTCGAGAGATGTCACCACATGGACCATGAATCATGTGCTTTAGAACTTTTGCATTAAGTTCTGGATATTTTTTCTCGTCAGGAATTTCAGCCCATACCATCATGTCAATAACTTCTTGTAATCGGGGCTTGTCTTCATCACTTAACATTGCAAGTAAGTGTAAATGTGGTAGCCCTCTTTTTTGGAACTCAATCACGCCTGCATAAGCTATGACATTTCCCAAAATTCCATTTTGAACGATATCCTTCAAAACTTCTTTGACATCTAAGCTAAATGTTTTTGCGACCAGGTCAGGTCGATACTCTACTGGGCATCCATCAAGATTCTCTTTAATTTCAAGGCATTGAGGATTGCAAGTCATCGTAATAAATATGTCTGGTTTACCAAACTTTCTGACTAAAGACATGGCATCTTGGTATCTTTCTTGCATGTTCCTTGGACTACCCATAAATGAGGATGGTAATATTACAGGTACACCAGCTGTAATTCCTTCATTTTGTAATCGATTATCAAGGTGATCCATTAATCCTGAATAAAGTTCAGCTCTTAATTGGGGCTGATTCATTTTAATGTAATTAAGCCTATTGGCCTCTGTTTTCATATATGCATCGAGTATGAATTGACATCTCAACTTGCCTGCTCTTTGAAATTGACTAAATTCTGCTCTTGGTGCCAGCAAGTGAGCATAATAATCCATTTGAGTTATTTTGAATCCTGGATATTTAGGATTATGAGTTTTCAATTCTGAATACCATCCATCATTACCGTATGGATATAACAAAGGGTAACACATTGGGTCACACCTTTTGTCCAGAATTGAAATTTGTTGTACATCATTTGAATTTTTGTTATAAATTCGAATGTCTCTTTCAAATGGAGGCTCACCATCAATATTTTGAAAAACTACGGCTATTTCATTAGCTCGTGGAGCATTGTATCTTCTTTGATCGTGTTGAGGATTATTTCTAAAGGATAACATCAAATTTGGGGCTTTAGTGCCTTTCGGATTGAGATCTTGTTCAACCTGACTCATCATTTTAAAAGTCTTAGCAAATTCATTGCATTGAACCATGAAGCATGACAGATCTCTCATTAGAGCTGAATCACATCCTTGGTTGGCTTTGTTTTTCATTCTATGGTAAACAGCTTCTTCCGTATCCAAAAAGCAAAGTTGTGCATAACGCGGAGCTTGCCCATCTCCTGGGCGCATTGCCGTCGTGGTCAAATGATGATATTGCCCATGAATCTTTAAGCAATAAGGAGCAACGTTTATTACATCCAAGGGATTCTTATTGCCCGGGGCACCCATGGAAGCCATAGCTAAAGCACTGTTATATGAACGAATATTATTCCTAAAATTCTTAGATTTAGCATCATTTCCCATAAATAATTTTTTAAGAAATTCTGAAAAATTTATGTGTTTTAATTGAAGCTTGCCCTTTTGGCAACAATATGTAAATTTTTCATCTTTGGGCTTTTCACATATAAAGTTTAATGATTTGCAAAATTGGCATTCGACATTCATTTGGCCCAGTGTGTGAACAGACACATTTATTTCTTGACCTTTGGCAATTAGCGCAATTTGGTGATTTATTTGTTTGTCTTTGCACCTTCTCTGAATATGTCTTCGAGCATCAGCTTCCATTCGTTGAGATCTTGTCTCATCATTTTCCTCTGCCCTCTGCTGAGCATGTCTCTTGGCATCAGTTTCAAGTCGTTGATACCTTGTTTCATCATTTTCG